CCTAACAAGTCATACTTACTATATGACTATATTACATGCACTTTACGATGAGAAAGTAACTTACATTGCATCATACATAAATCACATAATCTTTTATGGGACCTTATTTCTCATCGTTTTAATAGTCTACAGTCTGTAGAAGGCTCATCCTGTGAAAACTTGATTCAGAAGAGAAATCTGGTCTATACATGGCTCTATGCTGTCTTAAATTATCCCGATTTGAGATTTGCATAAAGGAATTTCTGAACAGGACAGGTTTAAGACTGTGTAAATGCTTTACTCTAGTAGAGCATTAATAGAGTGCCTCTTGTATTGGGCGTCTGTGCCCCGGTTTGGCAGCAGGGAGGCTGCAGGGGTGGCCTTTTTGAGAAGAGGCCAGGGGCCACCCTGTGCCTGTACACAGCTGGTGGCACCTCTGGGAAAGCATGCTTAAGAAAGGACAGAAAATGCCAGGCAGAGAGAGAAGGGAGGGGGAGTGAGAAACAGCAGAGAGAACCCCAAGGTCAGAAGAGGACGTGCTCCATGGTGGAGCAGATATTCCCAGCAGCCTGTGGAGGGGACACACTGGAGGACAAGAAAGGTGTGAGAAGAAAGGAATGGCAGAGAGAAACCACTATGTCTTGATCATAACCCCTCAACACCCCTTTTGCACTGCTTGCTTCCTCTCTGAAAGGACTTGGACTGAGTGTAACCTGCAGTGATAACAAGGGAGGGAGAGAGGAATCTGGGAGGAAGGAGGAGGTCAAGTTGAACCTGGGGAAGCAGGTAGGAAAGGTGTTGTTTCAACGTTTGTCTTTCTTGTTTCCCACTACCCATACTAGCTTTTTTTATATATATTACTTTAATTGGCAATAAATTAAGTAAATTTTTCCCCAGTTGACTCTGTTTGCCTGCCATGGCAATTGGTAAGCAGTCTCCCTGTCTTTATCTCAACCCATGAGCTTTTCCATTGCTGTTCTTCCTGTTTTCTGTCCTGTCCTGCTGGGGAGAAGAGTGAGCTAGCAGCTAGTTAGGAGTTTGGCTGCTAGCCTAGGCTAAGCCACCACACCTCTTAACTAAAAACCCCCAAAATAAAGTCCACAAGCAAGAAAATAAAACTGGCCTTCAGCATTTTGTTGTTTTTATTGAAATGGGTGGCTAAAACCATTTCAGACACACAGAGAAACACTATGCAGAGAAAGGCTATAGTCACATATTCGCCACAGGATATAGTAAAAACACTACGATTCTCCCCTCCCCAAAGGGATTAGAGAATCACTCACAGAAGCTCTCTGAGAAACTGCAAAACATCTGAGAAGGCACAGAATGTATTAACCCCTGTCGCTGTACAGAAAGGAGCTTTGTACATGAGGGAGTTGGAGAAGCGCCAGGGTACAAGTACTCAAATATCAGTGTGTGCTGAAAGAAGCTGAGACCGTGATCTTTATCTCAACAGAGAAAAAGAGAAAAGGCTTCTGACATTATTAATACAAGTGTGCACAGCAGCGATAAATCACTAAGCTGAAAACTAACAGGTTCTGAAAAATATGGAAAGGAGATTCGAGACTTGGAAGTGGTTGTGCAGAAGAACTAGAGAATGTTTCTGGAAATGAAATATAAAGTGAACATTTGATGGATGAGTGCTAGACATTAAACCTGAATTAATTTGGCACAATGACATTACTGGATATACACTGGAGGTTTGTTTGAGATAAGAGCATAGTACTTAGAGCAGGAAAGAAAGGAGTAAATCTTTTCAGACTTCTTGAATGGGCAGGACACAATAGATGGAAAAATTTAATCTAAGGTTACTGAAACTGCTAAAAAAATTACTAGCAAGCCACACAAGCCACTGACAGAGTTCCATAAAGACAGAGCAAAACCCAAATACAATCTAATTTAAGGACAAAAGAAAGAGGTACATTTGGGAGTTTAGGCAAAGACATCCACACCTCCCAGCATTACCTAGAGCCTCAGACAGTTGGTAATCAAATAGCGCACAGCACTGCAGAATCAGTCCTCCAAACCACAGATGAAAATAAGAGTGAGAAGCTTGGAAACTATCTGGAATCATTAATATAAATATCCATCTTGTATTTCTTACTGAAGAGCTGGTTTCTATGAGTAGAAGGGCTATGGTGAAATCTTTGGCCCACTGAAATTGGAAGTGAAATTTGTGGGTTTTATTGCGTGACCCTGAAGAAAGTATATTAGCTAAGTATTTATAAACAATAAATGTCTACAATTATGTGCCTTTTGGGAAAATCAGCAGGATAGATGAGTTATCATAATACACAAAATGGACCTTGCATTATTGACAGAGTCCACATGCTTTTTCATACAGACTGACAAGTGTATTGCTGTGCTTTATTAGAACTGTCCTAAAACATTGATCTTGGATTTTCTGGCCTACTAAATGCCAAACTTGTCCTAATATTCACACTGGAGAATTTTGCCAGGCAACTCTCCATATGCAGGAGAATGGCTGATGACTTTTGCCTTTCTAAGTCTTGCAAAGACACTCTACTTTCTTCTTATATAAACATCCTTTTGTAACAAGTGGGGCAGATGTTCACAGAAGGCACCTCCTTACATCAAAACTTGACTCTAATACTCGCAGAAATGGTGAAATAGGCTTTTGTTATTCTTTCAGTCAAGACAAGAGCAGAAGCCACAATTGCTGATAATACCAATCTGGACAATGGTTGTTTTCAAGTTGTTTTGTGGGCAAAGATTGCTCTTGTTTTCAGATAAGACATTATACTACCTAATAATTTCTTTTGTACTGTTAACTCCTAAGGTCTTACCAACTTGATCAAGGATATAAAACAGCCACATATCACGGTTGCTATTAAATGCCTCCAATTTAGCCATATACTAAATTGTTATGAAACCAATTAACCACTGGCCTGAATTCATTTGGTCATACTCAAATCATTTCCTGTCAAACACCTGCAGAAGATCAAGTTATTCTTCATGGTTTTGCCATAAAATTTTGCTCTTACTTATTTAAACTGTTTCTTTCACAGACTCTTCCTTTTTTTTTTTTTTGATCCATTTCAATTTGAGGTGGAACAGTCTTTATATATTAAACTAGGAAAGTTTTGATACCATTACTCTTTGTGTATCAGTTCAGAATTCAATTCTATCCCAGCTACACATTTTTTGCTGATGCTGTTATTTCTGCACAACGTTTTTGCTTGGACTCTCACCCTACTCCCACTGAAGTCACTCAGTTGGAATCTCCATCACTTTGAATAATCATTATACTGCGCAAATGGAAGAAATATGCAATAGCTAGACAGTAGGAAAAAAGTCTATTACTTTACATTAAAATATAGCTGGGTTAGGAATAGGGCTAAACAAAATCAAGAATTCATAAAGATTAGCATAACTTTTTTTCTTTTTGGTCAGTTTTACTGATCAAGAAATTTGTAAGTTTTGCCTTTTTTTTCAAATATATACCCCAGTTTTCTAGTAAAACCTACTACAGTAAGTGTAAGGCAGTATCTTTTCACAAGTGCCGGACGGAAGTGTATTTTGCTCTGATACAAACTGCCTCGATACTGAATACAAACTGAAGAAGTTTAGATGAGTAAAAAGTTGTTCAGGGAGGAGGAAAGCAACTGAGCTAAAGACTTCACAAGTAAACAAGAATCCTAAAAAGGGAGAGACTGCAGATCCAATCTCTTCTTGCCAACTGTATTTTTGCCCCTACTCCATGAAAAAGCATAAATCCTCTCCCACAGTCTGGCAGACACTTTCCTCTGTCTGCATTTAATCATTTTCCTATTACAGGCCCAGTTTTCCCTCCTTCAACTTTTATCACTTGTCCTTCATTAAGAAAACAAATCACATTTTCCTTCTTTAGTTCTCTCATTTCTTCCAACTCAGTCTTCCTCTAGACATGAAAGAAAGATCACCTATCCACTACCCCATCATGCACTAGCAGGTATAGCTTGCTTCTTTAAGTGTTGTAAATACTAGCTAACATTTTTCCCAATGTACCCAATGTGATGAATTCAAGGGTGCTTTGGCTTGAGAAATGCTGTATAGAGACAAACTTGTATAGTGTTAATAAATACAACATGACACAAGTATGTATGGTAAGAAGAAAAACGCACTGAAGTACAAAAATTTGCATGGGCTTCAAGGAGCTTTGGGTGAGGTCTTTGATACTTAGCTCTGTCTCCTACTAATGCAAAAGGGATGGAAGAAATGGGATCCTTGAAACTGTCCAATTTATTCACAGAGAGACTATTTAGGGTCATATTAAGCTATTCTCATCTGTGCTTGTTCTGTACATCATAAATAACCACTGAAGGGAATAACTACTGTTGGGGTTACTTCATAAAGAAGATGCTATTTTAGAATAACAGGAAATAGTTATATATTAAGCTTGAAATAGATTTTACCGTCCATACTAGACAAGTTTCTCATGACAAGCAATATCACATTTCACCAGAAGATTAGCTCCTTGCAACTGCACAAGATGATCTCCTCTTTTTCCCCTCAAAATATTTCAAATGTTTTCACATATACGGCCTAAATTAGGACAGAGTTATCAAGTTATCACGTGCCTAATTATACAATAATACCAATTTGACCTTAGGTGGAAATTAATACTGCAAGCCTGTCTTGCAGACAAGATGATATGAAATTATTATTATGTATACACACACGCACATGCTTCTTTCACTACTCAAAGTGCACCCAGTGGGGAAGTACAAGCAACATGATTTTTTAATGCAGATTCAAAGACTGCTTTTGTGCTATTCATGGTGGTATTTACTGCTTACCATACGAAGTGGTAAAGCAAAACACAGAACTTAAAAGCAATACCTCTGTTGTAGCAACTCTCCAATATTCCTGAAAATACTGATTTTTCCCTTCTGTTTAACTTAATCCTGGGAACCAGATTTAAAGTACTGACTTAAAGAAAATCTATACAATGGCCAAGTTAAATAAAAAAGCTGATTATTTTCAGAATATCACAAAAGTTGTATGTGTTATGATCTGACCTTCTGGAGCTGGTTTACTCGCATTTGTTTTTTCTGGATCCTTCACCTTGGATTTACTTGTTTCTTTTCTTCTCTCTATATCTTTAACTGAAAAGTAAGGGGGAAAAATATAATCAATCAAACTAGAAACAGTGCAATCAGAAGCATGTAATGTTCTTCTTTCAGATAAAGAAGTTGCATGCAACATCTTGTGATATGCTTAGGTAACAAGTGACTGTTACTGGGTTTTCTCCTCCTTCCCTTTGGGTTTATCCTTGTTACAAATCTTTCCCCATCCTATCATCATTAAAGTTCTCAAAAGTGACTCTCCTCACACAGGAGGAGTCCAAATACAGTGACATCAGCACCTAAGCCCACGTTGACAAGATCCAGCACTGGAAATACAGTCCAGAAAATTGGCAAAGATAGCTGGAGAAAGTCCAGCACTACAGAGTTCCACTCCAAGTCATTCAACACAAAAGCGCATAAGCCAGCTGTTACATTATCCTCTTTAAAGAATCAGCTTAGATCCCATGCCCAAATCTGTGTTCAGGGCACCAAATACTCCCATGAGAGCAAAGTTGCTCCAAAGCTTAGACTTCAACAGTTTCCTGTCCCACAAGTGGGTGGGATACCTCCCTTATGTCCCAAATCTCTCATAACAGCCAAGCAGAACCCAGCTCGATTAGCAATTCCTAATATTACATTAGTTGCCAGTATCACTCTACTCATAGTCTGAAAGATTCTGGCAAAATCATTGCTAAAGTCACGTATTAGGAAAAAAAAAAAAAAAAAAAATCCTTTCACTATTTCCTTAGAAGGCTAACTGGTGTCAAGGCCCCAGCTGTCTACAATGGCCAGGAACAGCTTAAAACAATGAAACAGAGAATATCTTTCATAGAAAATAAAATCCTACTCCAACTAAAATCTTTCGTTTATGCAGAGCTGGATTATGACCGACATTCATCCAAGCAGGCACTGAGTCTTAGCCAGGATCAGAGTCTCTGTGCTACATCGTTCAAAAAACACTGCGAGAGGGTGAAATAAGGTTATCTGTCTCTTGAAACATACATTATAAAATAGACAATAAAAGTATTCTGTTTTACAGAAGTGGAACCAAAGTCAAATGGATTTCGCTAATTTACCCAATAGTGTATGGAATATCTGAAAGACCCAAGAGTGCTCTAAGTTCCAATCCAAAACATAATCACAAGACCATCCTAAGGTCTTAGGAAGACAACAAGCCACTGTCAAACATATGAGTGTGACCTTCTCAGCGTCATAACCCTCTGCAGAACCTACAGCCCTCACACTCCAGGTACAGAGGTAGGAAAACTGGTGAAAAAAAATAACTGAAGTTTTTGACTCCTCTCCTTACTAATACAGCATGTGCACCTGCACATCACCTCTACCTTTAGCGAATGGCTGTGAAACTGATTCAGAAGGAAATTCAGGTCCACAAGCTTGCTGAGGAGTCAGCTTTTACCAAGGTAGATCTTGGTTATTAGCTGGGTTACAGGTAAAGCCATGATGACACCAGGTCTTACTCAGAAGTCTGGGTTTAATCCTTATTTAAACAAGTCTCCAACTAAAATAAAAGAGGGGAAATTACCAGAATAATACTAGTCAAAAAGGATGCCATTGCTTAGCCTTCTAAGAGCATTTCTTTGCGAAAAGGCTAAGAGCAAGCTAAGGAGCTGCTTGATGGCCTCCTCTAATGCTAGTGCTGTTGAGCGGCAAGTCTCCAGAGAAACAGTACAAAAGTCAGTGCTCGTAGGAGACAAGTTGGTCACATCCTGACAGAGATTTCTGGATTTGGGAAAGCCATTTCTAACTGCCAAAATTCTAACCACATAGGAAGAACAGACAAGAAGACACCAGTTTTATTCACATATTTACACAGACAAAAAACTTATCTAGGGCATGTTTTTACAGCTGCATTTTAAAGGGAAAAAAATCCCCCGTGATCTTAGTTAGTTACATACTATGTACAATAACTTACAAGCAGCAATAGAATAAGAAAGTATACCTGGCTGGTATATGTAACCCTATAGCAGGTTTTTTTAACCATAAAATTTTATTGTAGGCTTGAGAATTTTTTTGTATATCACTTGCAACTCAGCAGCATTAAAAACATACTTCCAATGCACAAAACCAGAGGATAGTCTCAAAGTTTTGTATATGTTTGACCTTTTTTCACCTCAAGAATTAGGGACCACTTGTCACAGAAGGGGAAAAAGCCATAGAATACAGGATAGCAAAAAAGAGGGATTTGTACACATGCTGTATGGGGTTTTACTCATGCAATTGTCATATTGTCAAATGAAACTCCAGCCTCATGAGGTACTACATGTTTTCACCTGCAGCAAAGAAAGAGTATACTAAATAGAACATAACCCCCATATTCTTAAATCAAGTTGCCAGCTCTACTTTTCCTGAAGAATAGAGGTAGTTTAAAATAAAGCCACACCTAATATAGAATTCAGTGTAGCTTTCTGTGGGCTGCTCTTTAATGCTAAAGTGATGTGTGGTTTTGTGGGTTTCCTAACCAGGATGGAACTTAAAGTAGTAAACACACAGTTGCAGTGATGAAAAGCTAGAAAGACCTTGACACACACCACATCAAGCAATCAGCATATTTTATCTTGTGCTGCTTCTAAGAGAAAGGTGGTTTAGCAACGACAGTGAGAAATATTCAGTGTCAAGGGAATTCAGTAGGCTTTCAGCTGTACTCCCAGACCATCACACTTTTGTCTTTATCGACCAAATCTTCACTGATCACATTTAACTAAGCCATTTAAAATGCAGATCAAGACCAATCAGCTAAGACATATATATCACTACGACACAGACATTAAGAGTATGTGTAGGTCAGATAAAAAAGTCTTAAGCATAATTTGTAAACATATTTGACAGCTGAAGACCAGTCAGAATTTAGCCTTTCATAGTATCATTGAACTAGCAACTAGTTGTCAGTTGATACAGCTATAAGAATGTTTTAATAAAAAGTTGGACAAAGGGAAGGAAATTTTTTAAGTATCAGAATACAGCACTTCCCTTCTTGTTTCCGCTCACTGAAGATTCTTTTCCATGAGATACTGGCTAATTTCATAACGGAATGGGGAAGAAAGGGATTCCAAACCAATGGAAATAAAGCCCAAAGCAAGGATCTCCTGTGCAAGAGCAACTGGGTCAATTCAGGCTCCAGCTGTATATGTACCAGTTAAAATCTGTGGCTCTGATTAGCCTTCCACCACAGAAAAAACTGTTTTTCCATTGACCCCCTTTGTGTCAGACTTTGTTACAATTTTGTAAGTCATATTAAATATCCGATAAATTCTGCATGTCACGCATAAAAAGACACATACTTCTGAACTGGCCTTGTGCTGGCTTACTCTCCTTGTCTTCACTGAATGCAATGATCTGAAGGGCATAGTTTTGATCTGGAATAAGACCTTGAATGATTGCTTTGGTTGCAGTGTTTTGAAGAATTAATTGATTGGTTTTTCCACCTGTAGAAGACAAGACAAAAAAAACCACAAATACATAACTTGTTTGCTTTTTTTATAGCACAGTAAATGTAATGACTTAAAACTACCTCAAGCTCTACAATGACCCAACTGTTCCCACTTTTGGGACTATCCATACAGCCAGGTCAGAGGGCATCTCAGAAGAGCAAGAAATCAGACAGCCTGACCAAAGACATGGACCAGTTCTCTTTAGATAGAAACACTAAGATCAATCAATCGGCCTTTGTATCTGGGCCTCATGGAATAGCCACGGTGTCCAGCAAAACTATTAATTAAGAAAAAAAGAAACATTTGACAAAAAGATGTCAAGTTTGGTAACATCATACCCACAGGCTTTCACACTGCTCTGTGACTGGCTGCTAGTTCTGATCCCATCATACCCACGTCATCTCTGAACATCCCCTTCGCCCTCTTCCTTTGGGAAAGGAAATTCTCATGTATAAATACAAATATTAAACATTTCCATGTATACACATATATAAAGATGGTATACAAGTATGTACAAATATCTATTTTGACTATATGTTAAAAGCATATCTATATCTAAATTGAAATATATACAGAAGTAGTACCTCTACACAGGTAGCCAGATATAGCCACTTTGTTGCCTATCTTTACATTTCAAGTTTTCATAAAAAAAGATTTTAAAAAGTTGGGGTGGGGTGGTTTGGGTTTTTTTAAGTTTGGTCCAAAAATATTTTTGGTCTTTTCTGGGGTGCTCACTATGGGAGATCCACCTCAAAGCTTTGACTGAAATAGGGTTCCGGTACTCTCCCTTGAACAGTTCTAGACTTCCTTACCCCCCAATGGAAGAAAGGTAAAGACAGATGATCAGTGACAATTCCCAAGGACTACCTATGCAGCATAACTAGCACCCACACACTTCTACTACCTTAAGCATTTAATTCCCATATTCTATGTCTATGACCACCCTCTGGTCAGATTGATTTCCCTGTTCTGCTGACCAGCCAATACTCCGTTATTCACAGCTTGCTCACAGTTCCTTAGTCCTGAAGGTTGACACTAGCCTCTGAAAAGCTGTTCTGCCTTAGGAAGACAGTCCTTTCACCATAAAAGTGAACATACAGACTTTTGTTTTACCTGAACTTGGAGTGACAAGAAGCTTATATCCAGTGAATTGCCCTTTGGGGGCTTTCCAAGAGATCTGTACACTGTCAGGACTGACTACATTGTATCTTAGTCTTGTTGGTGGGGACACTGCAAGTGGGTAAAGAAAGCAACATTATAAATTCAAATAAAAAGCAACGACCAGTTTTAAACAAACATAAAAATAAACACATAGAGGAAGACAACACAAAATTTTAATGATAAAGGATGCAAGTTATTCAAAATGTCACATACATCAGTTTATTAGTTTGTAAAATTACATCCCCAGGTGCACTACTACCCTCAGACATACCTTTTATTTATCTCTTTATAAAAACAAACTAACAACCTAACAGCAGAGGACAGAAAGACAAACAGTGTTAGATGTTAAGACTCTAGTTTAGCAGGCAAAGCTGGTAATAAAAATGCTCTTTGTTAATGTATGGGAATTAAAATTGCTCTCCTTGCTTCCACTGACAATATGCATTACCTAGGCTCCTTTACCTTGCATTACCATGGGTGTTTCCCCACGTTTAAGGTCACTCAGGGCCAAATTTTCAAAGCCTTGTGAAGACACGATAACTAAAAGGAAAGATAGGCATGCACAAGGCAGAGGGAACATCAGCTGCCCAATTTTCAAACCTGGCCTAAGCAGCACACAGACTTGCCCAGCTGCAAGCACTGCTTCGGTCTCATCAAGACTAGCAGGCATGCACAGGCTAGTCAAGATTTAGACAGGGGCAATCTGGATGGTAAGCAAATCTGGCTTCTATTTATATTGTGCCATCACCTAGGTTTCCAATAGAAGCAGCAGGTGAAATAAATAAAAGCATGAAATGATTAAGAAAGAGGTGATATTTCAGTGAAGCAACACAGAGAGGAACAAATAGGAAATCCACCCTATGTTGTTACTGCAGTATCAGCAACTTTGTGTCTATGCACATAAACTAGTTTTTCACAGCTTTGCAACCCTCTGCTCAGGCAAGCTCCACTGATGCTGGACAACACTCTACATAGCATTTCTGCTCTGCTTCAGGGAGCCACATCCCTCCCTCACAGCAAACAACTGAAGCAGAGCTGCTAGTTGTGCAGCCTGTGGTAGCCAAGGCTGTCAATAAGGGGAAGTTTTCATACATTTGAATAGGGTTTGGCTCACAGAACTAACTGATCTAGAGAGAAAGGCAGCCAGGGAAGCTACCCAGAGGCTGAACAACAGAAAAGCCTAGAAAAGCTTAACAAACTCCTCCATCAACCCTAACCCCTCCTCTTCCCACTATCTCCACAGCCCCCGAACTGCCTCCTTCATTTTCCAAACACTTGGTGTCTCTGCCACTACCATCCTTAAGCTTTCTGTTAGTAACTCTAAGAAATAAAGGAAATTATCTGAAGGGGTGAAGTGGCAATTTCTCTTCCCCGGGGCCCAAGATAGCTCTTAACTGACTAGGCTCATGCCCATGTTTTGTTGGTTCACTAGCTATAATAAACCAACAGTCCTCATGATATTTCTGAGATTTAAGGATTACAGCACACGGAGCATCTGAGTCAACAGGCAGAATGTGCTGGCCAACAGCCTCTGGCCTCTCCATCTGACCTGCTACAGTCAATGCAGCTCTGGCACTAACAGCAGCCAAAGACCTGTCCCGAACCGATTACTTTTTCCTACGTGCTTCTTTTTCCAATAGCTTGGGGGAAGAAAGAAGAAGGACAGAGGCAGGCTCTGTTTTTTTGAGATTTGGGGTGTTGGTTTTTTTATGTCATCTACCATTAAAAACATTTTGGGTCTTAGAAGTAAAAAGCTGGAGGTTTAACACAAGAGATATATTCACTTGCATCCAGCCTCTCAATCCATAAGGGACAGTTTTGCCAGACCAAAGGTTCTGCAATTCTCTGCCTTGAGGAACTTAACCCAGAACACAGAAAAGAGAGTACATAAGCACCAAGAACAGCTTAGTAACACCACCACATTCTCAAAGACTTCAGAGAACAAGCTCAAGAAGAGAGGCAAGGGGACAGAAACAGCAGGTAGCACACCAATTCCACACACTCAAAACTGTTCTGATAAGCAGCACTGGGCTTACACCCAAACAGTGCATTTCCCCAGTTGCTGGGCACAATCGTGTCAGACCTTCTTCAGTCAGACTGCCTGAAGTTTAGAGGAAGGGAGGCTGCAAGCAAGAGCGTGTGCAGGAATCACTGCAAATACAAAATCAGTTCTTTGAAAATTTGGCCCTCGGATTGCAAAATGTTTTGCTGGGCAGGTTTCTGCAAGAACATTCAGCGTGCTATAATTGTAATAAAATGACAGACACTATGGCAAAAAGTTTTGAAAGCCAAGCAGACTGTAGTTATGGATTACAGTTTTTAATTCATTCTCAAGATTCATTCTGTCTTTGAGCTATACATAAATCACAGTCAATTGGGGCTGAATGAACCAAGAGTGACAAATCATACCTCAAAGTCTGCAAAATATGCAATTCCTTTATTATTTAAATAATAATTAAATAATCTAAGGAATAGCGAATAAACTGTTGATCAATGACAGTATGCAAGTGTAAAAATGCTACACATTTTACCAGCATTAAGTGGTAAATTTGTATGGGGATTAAGAGGCAGACCAGAGAGCAGCAAAGTAACACCAAGGATTGACAAAAAAAAAAAATAATGTCTTCGAATTTCAGAGTTCGTTTTCTCTGCCATCTTTTTTTCCTTCCCCTGTCATTCCATTCTGTCCCACTTTCAACTTAGCAGTTTATGAAAGCACCTTCTAACAAAGAAGCATAGTTCTGGCCTAATCGCTATTAGCCATCACCAAAACAGGTAAATTTTGGGAGCTCCTAAAAAACAATCACAGATCTTACAAGCAAAGAAGGACACAATCACCAAAAGTTTTTCTGTTTACTACAGAGTTACAATGTGAAAGACTAGAAAAGTTGTGCCAGAATAGTCTTTACATAACTAATCAGTTTTCACTGGGTACTTTTTGTATCAAAGGTGGCAGTGCAGGGGAATGGACATTGCCACACAGCAATTAACCATAAGGAAGAAAGGAATTATTCACCAGACAGATACTCAACTGTGTCTCAGTTGTGCAAAGACTAACATTCTGGCACAGAAAAGTACATATATCTAAGGAAGTTAAAAATCTAACACTTGAACAGACGACAAAGTATTGATGGGATACTACACATTCACCAACCTGAAGAGGATATCTTTATTTCTTTGGACCTTTATTGTCTGTGGAACAAAATCTCACTTCTTGCAGAAAGGGAAAAAAATTATTCCAAGCTGAGTCAGTTAACTGATAAAAATCAGTAGCTAGAGCTTGTTAAGTGGTTTTACAGGAATGCAAAAGTGAATGGCCGTCAGCAACATTAGAGCAGTCACCCAAAAGAAAACTACAGACAAGTTCAAGGCTTTTGTTTATGCCACCAGATAAACTAGAACTCCAAATACATGACTCCTGTGGACCACTAGGGAAAGTGTTTTGAACTCTTCAGTATCTTAATGGAAAGGAAAAATACCATAAATTGCATATGCGCAGCTCTCTAAGACATCCAATAGTCTAAGACTTGCCACAACTAAAGCCACAGCAACTAAACCTTGTGGCTTCCAATTCACTTTTGTCGTAAGAATTGAACAAGTTAATATGCACTGAATTACATTAGTAAGACATGGAAATTATTGCTACACAAAGAAAAGTTTCCACCTTTAAATACAGAAGGAAAATCCTTAAAGCAAGTTACTTTATGAATAAATGGAAAATTCTAACATATTTTTCTTGCCCAGCACTATTTTTGTGTACTATATAAGAACATAAGTAGACAAAAGCTGGATTTTTTGTTGCTGCTGTTTGTGACGTTATGCTGAATGAGGAAGAAACAGCAGTGACGAAAGACTAATTGTTGTTGACTAAAAACTGAATGGCACTATGTGGTTTATAAAGCATTCAGGCAATACATGAGACAAAACCGTGTAGCACAATGCAGGTAACTCCTCAGTTGAAGGAATAAGTTGTAGCTTCAGGCATGTTGACTTCAGTCTCCCAAACATACTCTCTTTTCCAAGAAGTCACATTACACACCTTTACGTGAGCATCTTTGCCAAAGGAAGGAAACACAAGCTGGAACTAATACTAGCTCTTCCTACACCTTAGCAGAGTGTACAATTTCTTAAAACAGACAAACATACTGTTAGTGCTGTATTAAATTGTAAATAGTTAGCCAGCTGCATGAAGAGTTTACTGCAAGGAGTGGCAACCTTGAGAAAAGAAAGGATTTGAGAAATATCTTATTACTTTAAATGTAGCAAAAGATATTTTTATTCTGTGAACATGGAATAGAGACTTCATACCACCTCACTCAATAACATAGCAGTCATTTTGGGCCAAGCCAATAGTCCACTTAGCTTAGTATCACACTGCTCACAGCATTCACCAGCTGATGCTTGCTGAAAGAGTATAAGAACAAGGGAAGTATTGTTCTTTATTCATCAAGTACATCAACTCTAGCTTCTGCTGGTGTGATGATTGTGGAAAAAACTCTCTCTGACCTTCATTTCACTGTATTAATAGTTTGAAAGTTTTCTCCCTTACATATGACCGATTAAATCAATGTTTTGTTTTTTTTTTAAAAAAAAAACACTACCAAAAAAAAGTGGGGGAGGAGTATGGTTTTACAAGTTCAAGAAATTTTTCAAAACTTTCTGGAGATGGATCTCAATCCCCAATCCTGTTTTACAAATCTTAACCATATGTATTAGGACTGAAATACACAGAGAGAGGACTAACCATATGCTTTGCTTTATTGGCTCATTAAGTCACAAACATTCTGGACCTCATTTCTGACCAGAATTGATGTGTTGAACATTGGGAACATATATTTCTACATTTACCTCACATCGCCCACATTACATATTACTGCTTACATGTGTCCCTAAGCTCTGGGAGAGGCTTGTAAAATGCTCGCAGCTTCCCAAACATCCAAAATGGTATGCTTCCCCAGCACTTGAGTGCCACGCAGACTGGAGAGCACTGCTACTTGCATTTACCAGAATTTGGAAAGCCTCAGATTGCCACCACTCTCTGAATGTGCTCATCAATAACGCATTATACAAGATGCTTTAGAATAGACCCAGGATCAAATTCTGCTCCCGGTTATGCCTATGCAGTCTCATATCAAAGGGATTACATAAATTTAAAGTTGAGAGAAACATCTGTCTTTAGAAATCATAAAAACTCATTGGCATTCGTCCTCCCTTCTTCCCCAAAATAGGATAAATTTTCTCTAGAAGTCAAACCATTGTCCATACATTCCAACAAGTATTTAAGCTGAACAATCTCAGCAGTACTTTTAATACCCACAAAAGAGATTTAAAAAAAAAAGCTGCAGAAGTAGTCTGTGACATTTAAGAGTCCTGTGCAATACTGTATGATGTAAGTGTTGCAATAGCTACTGTTCCAACAAAGAAAAAAAAATATATATATAAGCTTGGTATCACAGCTGGTCCTTCAAACTTACTTGATTACGTAGAGGACAGTCACAGCAATTTCTGATCATACTTTCATGTAAATAAGAGTAAAAAAAAAAATAAACGTTCCATATAACTCATTTTGAGATACCTGAATTTGCAAAAAGATTTATGCTATTTGAGATACTAGGTTCAAAGAGCACACACAAACACATAATTCTACTCCCCCCTGAGATCAGCAGCAAAACTCCTGCTTCATTTCAGTAGTACTGGATCCACACCTACTAAAAGGGAAATAACACTTGCATTTGGAATAAGAAAGTCTATTTCTGCACATCAGAATGAAAAGCTCCATCTTCTTATTTATGACTTACCTTGGCCTTGGACATCACTGATGAAGAAAGCTGTGACAGCTAAAAAAGCCAAGAAGAAACAGCTCTGTATCTCATACCGACAAAGCATCATCTTCCCCTCAATACACACGGTTTCAGCAGGTCTGAAAACACATAGAACAGAAAGACTTATTAAACCTGCGAAGATAAGGCATCCACTTTAATGAAAAGTGTGGGCAAAATCTGGATTCCATTAAAAAGATTAGGAATTTGCCACAGACATCAGTGGAGCCAAGATTTCATCCTGACAGCAGTTTTAAAACCAGAGCATATTTTACCTGAAAAAGACGAAGAACCCCATTTGGGCCACTCAACAGTTCTGAAAATTCAGCCCATATAAAGAGAAAACTGATATTCTTTGCTAAGCACACATGAGTATTGGAAGTAGAGTTTGCTATGCATAACAAGGTAAAATGGGTCTCTCTATACAATCCAGTGTTGCAAGCACCTTATCAAGATACCTGTGGTAGAGAACGCTGAAGCTCTCGACAACAAAGTAGGACTAAAACTGTTACCTACTTTATATCCAGAAAGCATCCAGAATGGGATGCTAAATTATGCATTTCAGGATGCTGCAATAAAATGAGATGAGAACTGCCCTGCAAGCCTACCATAAAATAGCAAATGCGTGTACTCAGTAACCTTAGTGAAATAGTCATTGATCAGTTCAATGAAGCAATTTTGCACATGGGTTGTCAAAAAAGACAGAACTTTGTTCTGAGGATACACAACTCCTCTTCTCACTGTCCTCTACAGCCTACTCTATTTTTCCCTTTTCTATCTTCTTCAACTTATTCTATGCTCTCTGTTGTACTACCTGGCACTTACAGTGACTAAAGCAGACACAGCTCAAAAGGCATGCAGTGTATCAGCTGAGTAAGTGCTAATTCTATTTGTAGTAATACCGTGGTCAAAAATACTTTAACTTAATCAGTTCAGAACATCAACACTTCAGAGTGCAGCACTATATGAACACTCAAGGTAGTCCTAGGTGAAATGGTTGGGTTACAGGAAGCAATTCTGGTACCAAAGAACAAGTTCCAAAAGAGGCAATTTATCTGCCCACAGAAGCTAGGTTAAGAACAGTACAAATTTCATTATCTGAACTTGGCCTTTAACGCTTTCCAGTACAGTTATTCATATATAGAAGCACCTCTCAAGACAGCCACATGTTCAACTTCAGAGTGCAGCACTATATGAACACTCAAGGTAGTCCTAGGTGAAATGGTTGGGTTACAGGAAGCAATTCTGGTACCAAAGAACAAGTTCCAAAAGAGGCAATTTATCTGCCCACAGAAGCTAGGTTAAGAACAGTACAAATTTCATTATCTGAACTTGGCCTTTAACGCTTTCCAGTACAGTTATTTAACATATATAGAAGCACCTCTCAAGACAGCAACATGTTCATAACATTGTGTTTATGAATGTTTATCTATCACTCAACTTCAGGGCACTAGTTTTAGTCAACTTTTTGGGCCAGGAAGAAGATTTTTTGCTGCCCTCTCCTGTTAGTATTTTAGGGAGAATTAAACTAAGATAATTAATAGCAGATTTCTTGCTGTCAACAAAGAGTCAGCATTTGAAGGTTTACTTTGGTAAATTTTGGTTTATGCATTTCTGTTTTGCAGGTCCCTCCCATTTACCGCCTGTGTTTACATATAACAAAATTATATGTATATCTCTAATATTCCCAACATACCATCACTGAATTTGCCTTCCATGTTTTCATTGCCTTCTGAGGAAGGCACGAAGAAAGTGGTTCGACCACTATCTAATAAAAAAGGCAGACTGAAGTACCTCAACCATTATTAAACAGATAAGAGGATAAGACCTACATCTCCTTCTCTCTTCAAGTATCTACAATTTGCCATAGTTATCCCAGGACTCAGTAGGTCTACTGTTGCAAATCCCAGTCATGAATGCTTGATATGCCTAGAAATATATAGGGGCCTTAATCATTGTGAATTCCATCCCCACAGGAGGTTAGCAAAGTTTTAGCCAAATTATCAACACATTTCATGCTACTTAAATATGTATTTTGAATCTACCTCTTACAGTATAAATCTCTCAAGACAGAGGCAAATAGCTAGATCCAATAACAAAGATGCGCACCAGAAACTTCAGTATTGCTACGCCCAGTTCTTAGGACAAGTTCTCCAGATGGAATTCAGAAACCCGAGCAAAGTGCCCAGGCTTCCTACTACATGAACTCAAAGAGACAGGCACCCAAGGACTGGATCCAGATGAGTCAGCACAGTCAGCAGACAGTTGCCTAGTGACAGGCAATGGGAAGAACGAAGAGAGTTGTCTTAAACAGTCTGAAATATGTCCCTTGTGTACCTCACATTGGGTATTGATGCTTTTCCCCTCACTCAGGAATACAACCTAGAGCAAGTAGACGCTTCAAAGAACAGCATGCAACTCATTCTTCAATGCAGTCACAGCTGGTGATGTGCAGATTTCTCTGCATGTAACAACCCAGACATTAAAATATTCACTCACAGCGGTGGCTCAATTTCCAACCTGCAAAATTTGATATAAACCCTCCACACAAATAAGGGCCATAAATACTGTCAGGTAATCCCGTGTAGAATCATAGAATCGTTTAGGTTGGAAAAGACCTTTAAGATCATCCAGTCCAACCATTAACCTACACTACCAAGTCTACTCTAAGCCAATCAAGGGTAGACTAGACTAAAAACACTCTCTACCGCTGCTTTTAGAGAAAAGCCATTGCACGGAGAAGTAAGATTTATTGGGATACATGCAGCTGGTGCTGGATAAACTAGGCACAAGTTCACCTCTGCAACGACCGCACTTCAAGGTTCACTTACCCAGGAAAGGCAACCACCAGTCTGCAGCCACCTGGTGGCTGACATCATCTGGGAATAGAAAGAAATACCCTATTCCTCCTGCTTTTTACGTATTTCACCTCTTCTTAACTGTTTGGTGAAAGAGTGATCTGGCAGACAGCCCCGGCAGCAGAGACCCAGCCCCGCAGGCA